TAGAAATGACTAAAACCATTAAATATAGAAATGACTAAAACTGACTAAAACCATTAAATAAAAAAATGACTAAAACTGACTTAAACTAAGAAGTATTTTTGTTCAAAAGACTAAGACTAAAATTTAAATGGCAGTCAGAAACAGCACTGGTGTGAAACTCTCACTGTTATCAGTCCTGCCAGAGTATCAGCCTGTCATAGTTTAGTGACATTAGTTTCCTTTTTCTAATCCCTAATTTAACAACTCAAACTTAATGTTTAGTCCTAAAATGTCATTCATACTGCAGTTTTTTTGAGGAATTTTGTATCTTTTTCCTCTTAACATAGAGATGTTTTGAAACTTACTTTTGCTGAAAACGTATTCGTTACCCGAGAGTCTCCTCAGTCCATCCTGGAGGACAAAAACAAAAAGAACACATTATTTTGTGTACAGTGATCTGTGTATACTGTGACTTGGCACTTCATAAATACTAAACTGAAGTAGGCGAGTGTGAAAAAACTATAGAGATAGAAAAAAATAGGTAAACAATGCTGAGTCAGCATTCACACAAATCAACTGCTTCTTACACTCATGAGCCCCCCAACCAGATCATTTGTGTGGGGGTCATCTTCTTTTGAGGCGAGCTGAGGAGAGTAGAGCTCAGTGGTCCTCAAGATCTCCAACACGCGATCCAGAGCCTCAGCTACTGTTACTGGACTGCTCTCCTGGGCTGCGTTGATGATGTTTATTACCTGTTGATAATAAGTATCTTTGTGTCACCTTTGAACAAACAATTTAAAATATGAACGCACTAAAAGCCCTCTGCGGTGAATGACATAAAGTGGTTCTTTGTGGATGTGTGCTGCAGTGGTACATGTGATTTTGTTCAAATCTTGTCTGGAGCCAAAAGAGGCAAAAAAAGGTCCTATTTTTACACACAAGAACATCACAGGACCTGCAGCAGGATGTAGAAGGAGACAATGTGACATACTGTGCCACACTTTGACTCAGCACCAACTTCATTTGAGCTAAATCTAACTCTTTGTAGAGGTAACCCTGGTGAAAAAAAACTTTTCTATTGTTTTTTTCTTTGTCTTTGATTTTATTTTCTACACTTATAAGAAGAAATCATTTTAAAGTGTTTTTATTTTCTTTAAGTGAATAGGACAAA